AAAAGAAAGAATTTGTTAAAATGGAAATAATATGCAATTATATTTTGGAAAAGGAACCATTCAGGGATCAATGTCCAAAGCTATAAAAAGAAGAAAAATCTTTGTGCTGATCACTGGATCACTGGTTCACTTTTATTTCGCCTTTCCGTGTTCAGTCTTACATGTCTCATTGCTTTGTGGCTTATTGCTCATTTATTGTAGTGCTTACTTTATCTTTCACACTTGTTGAATTTTTAAAATTATTATTATTGCTCCTAACTCAAAGTAAAAGTTAGACAGCTGCTTTTAAGCTTTCAGTAACAAAGAAAATGATTGAAATTGGTTATAGGGCTGCAGTAGAGAATTTCAGGTTGACAAGCAATCCATCCACTGATGGAAGTCTGAACAAGACGGATTAGAGAAAATAACTAAGATCTTAAAAAATCAAGGACCTCAGTATGGCCTGCATTTTTTTTTTTTTTTTTTTTTTTTTTTTTTTTTTGATTTTTTTTTTTGTGCAGCAACTAGTATCACTTACACAAGGCTTACACAATGTTAGTAAAGGAAAACACATCAACTTTAAATAACACAAATAAATTATAGAAAATCACTTACACTATTTTAAATAAAGAGTAAAAAAGTTATTAAAAGCAGGTTAGACTGAAGGAAGAAAAACAAATTCACAACATTTTAATGGGCAAATAATTCCAATTAATTTAAATCTCCACTTTAATGAACTTCTTGCATAATTAAGCACAGGGCAATAAAAAGTAAGAAAAAGACACCTTCCTGGATGCCTGTAAATTTTGATACCCTTTAGATCATAATTGTTCTTTATTTCATAAATTACGGTTTCATATTTTTAATTTTATAATTTCTGCATGCCATCTACCAGATTTAAACTGATGATCTATAATCTGGAAAAATCGATAATCCGGAATCGCCGAAGTCCTGACGAGTCCGGGTTAATGACTTTTGACTGTATACGCTTTTTTGAATCAAATTTCCTGTCCGGAAAAGTACATAAATATTTGATTTCATTCACCATCTCAAGGGGATTATCATTAAAAACCAATTGATATCCATCGTAAGTAGTATTTCTTCTATCAATGAGCATCTGCTTAGACTTTGCGTTGTTAAATTTCAAATTAAAATTTACTCCCACTTACAACTGAAATTTAAAACATCCTAAGCAAGGTTAAAAAAAAAAAAAAAAAAAAAAAAAAAAAAAAAAAACCATCATGGAACTCCTTTTCCTGAACACAGAGTAATAAAACACCAGCAAAGGCAATAAGTTCACAACTGAAGATATCAAGAAGTTTCTGAAAGAGATCGTTGATACTAACAATCCAAAGACTAGGACTGGAAACAACACCCTTAAGGATTCCTCTCTGAGGTTGATGAATTCTTTAGCTAGCACCCAGGAAAAGTTTGACAATTCTATTTTTCAGCAAATCAGCAACAATATTAAACAGATTATAAGGGAGTTTCATTTTTTTTTTCAATAAAATAAGAATGGCATGCATTTATAATATTTATAATTTTCAATATCAAGAAAAGGTTAGAGTTGACTTTATGGTACTCCTTGTATTATCGCAAAGTTGTTGTTTTATTTATGAATGGAAACCCTATTATAACGTAATTGGTTGCAGTGAATTTGAATCATGATAAAAAATTTGGAAAAGTGTCGAATTTTGAGTAAAGGCTTGTGTGCATTGGATAAGTACGTTGTTATTTTGTGGTTTACACAGTAAATTGGCTGAATGTGGTAAGATTAATTTGAAGTTTCTATAAGATTTGGAACGAAAGGGAAAAAAGCATTAATTGACTTATGTGTAAACGAAGGTTTACTTAGTAGCCATTATGAAGTGTACTGTTTGAAGGAAAGGAAATGAGTATGGTTGAACTTTTTACTCTTATTTTTGTGAATTTATGTAGCAACACCAGGATACAGATTCTAGCTCAGATAATTTTAGGAAGTGTTTGGATGCTGTTAAGAAATTTTTGTTTGACTGAAGACGTGTAAATACGTAAATAAGGTAAATTGATATTTTCTTCGTGTAGTGCTAAGATGAATTTCCTTTTTTATCTTATTTCATTGTTTGAATTAAAATAATTTTATGAATTATTCAGATTATATATTTTTTATTGGCTATTCCTTTGACTTTTCAAGTGAATATAGTTCGATGTGTACATGCACAAAGTCAAGGGAGTACACAATGCCATTTTTGTGCAATTCTGGGATTTTTTTTTTTTTTAAAGAAAATAGTTCGATGTGTACATGGATACCAAGTTTGTGCAATTCTTTCTCTTGTTATCTTGGATTTGTGTAGTGGCAATTTTTACACAAGCCAAAATAACAAGTCAAAGAATTGCACAAACTCGGTATCCATGTACCGCCCAAAATCGCCAATGGGTACCCTAAAATATACTTTTACCTCAAGAAAAAATAGTTTGGCTTGTTTTGGAAACAATTCAGAGAAATGAACAATAGAAGAGAGAGAAAAAGGATTATCAGTGTCAACAGTTAAAATCTGCCTTTCAGTAAAAGTATTTGCTCAAGAAATGGGCATTAAAAACTTAGAGCCAAATATCAGGTACATGAAATAAAAGGTAGTATCTGTCAAGACCAAACCAACAGCTGGAGAGAAGCTTCCCATGGACTAGCTTGGGAAAGGCAGCATTTTTAGAATACATATCTAAGAAAATTACAGAACAAAATCTGGAAACAGGGCAAGTAATTAATATGGATACAGTGACCATTAGTTTTGAGTGTCCTTTGAGTAGAACTGCTCATTCAAAACATGAAACAACTACTCTTTGCTAACAACCGAAAATGATGCAAGTTGTGTCACCAATGGAGAAAAGTTAACCATTTTGATAATTTTAAAAAGAGTTCTAAAAGGAAGCTTACCTAAAGGGATAATTATTTACAATAATGAAAAAAAAAATGAATATGCAAAGAAGTGATGTTTTGCTGAGGAACATTTATCAGAAAAGGAAAAGTGATGCTTTCCAACCTTGGAGACTCATCGTTCTTGATTACGTGATCCCATTTAGTAGATATAGCAAAAACTTAAAGCTGATGTCTCAGGAATACCAGGTGGGCTTTCAAAAATTTTACACCCACTGGATTTCACAATCAATAGAATTTTCAAGCATGAACTACTAAAGTACTGAGAGGGATGGATGTGAAGCAGACTCCACTCTCACAAATTCCAGACGGATGAAAAATGTTTCATATGAAGAAGTTGCCTTATGGGTCAATCGAGCAATCAGTCCAAGCTGATATATTTATATCAGTTTCCCTAAAATCGGAAATCATTGAAAAAGAAAATAAAGACAGTGACATTGAAAAAAGTAATTTAGAATAGAATAATAAAAGTGATCTTGCAAGTTTATTAATTCTGACAGTCAGAATTTGAAGGTTTTGTATATATAAATGTAGTTTAACTATAAAATTCTGTTTGATTATCTCATTTATGTATTCTCTTTTAAAATATGGTAAACTATGATGATAAAGTTTACTTAGTATGTAAAAATAAAGTCTATTAAAAATCAGCAGAGCTTGTTTTCGGGCATGCTCAAAGTAAGATAATTATTTTTTATTTATATAAATATTTCTGTTTATAATTATATTGTAAATGTCATAAAAATGTTATTCATGACAACTGCATCAATATGGAAGGGAATTACAGAATAAATGAATAATAAGTGGCCTGTTTTGGAATGCTTTCCTGCAGTGTATTGCTGGTGCGGCTTATCCAATGTCCTTCCATTTCTTTTAGTTATTTATCATCAGTGTGGCAAATATGTCAGGGCAGCTCATATACTTGAAACTATGTTGCTTTAAAATTTATGATTTCGTTTTAAAATAACAAGGGTAATGAATATTTTGCAAATGAAAAACCACGATACTGACACAATTTGATTACATTTATTTCTCCCACATGCGCAAATCAGAAACCCCGTTTCTCGTCAGTGCTGAAATGCAGCAAATCAAACATTCTCGCCAAGGCTGCTGCAGAAGATAAGTACCAAAAAATTAATTAAATCTATGCCAGAACAAATTAAAAGTTAAAATAACCAATAAAGTATCAAATGTCATTTATTTTCAGATTTGTATTAAACTGCTTGTTTAAAGTGTCAGGATACTTACATTAGTTCAATTTCATAGCATTTTTTTTTTTATTTATTGAAAACATTCCAAACAACCTATTTCTAAAAAGCAGGTTTTAAAAATGATAAATAGTAGTAGGTATGAAAGAAAAATAAAATCATTTCATTAATACTTCAGAACATATTTATTTAATAAAGTTGAAAAATACAAGTGTCTGAAAAAAATTGCAAGCATTAACTGTACTGATGCCTTCCAAGGGAGGTTTTCCTAAAGAAAAATGACTCGTATAAAGCTTACTGTGGACAAAAAAAAAAAAAAAAAAAAAAAAAATGTAGCCACCACGATTGATTTCTTGTCAAATGTGTAACACACGATTGATTTGTCAAATGTGTAACAATCTCTCCAACTTAGTCATTGAAAGATCAGTTTAATTATCAAAATACATAAAGTGCCTTGTTAGACTTGAAAAGCTCAACAGATATTCTCAGCTATAACACAAAAATCCATCAACTTTAATTTAACTACAATTATATACAAAAGACGGAAGATACATTTCTTATTACAGAAACTGCAGAAGATAATATATCTGCCAAGTTTAAAATTAGAATTTTTTTTTTCCTACTGAAAATTCACAGAACCATGCTCTTTAATAAACAAGCGAAAAACAGGTTAAACATTTCAATATAAATTTTTAATATTTCCCTTGAATTATATTCTTTCATAACTCTTTTTCAAATAAACTGGATCAAAATTCCCTAAACAATTACTATTTTACACCAACATTTAATTACAACTGTGTGATTTTTTTTTTTTTTTTTTTTTTTTTTTCATTTCACAAAATTAATAAATAAAAAAATATACAGAAGCGTTCTCAACTGAAATAAGTAAAGTTTCTTCTTACTTCTCTCTGCAATGAATCAATTGGAAATTTTTGTATAAATGCAAAAGGATTTTAACTCATGACAGCAACACGGTAACATATAATCATATGAACTGAAGAATAAACTTCCAATTTTATACGCCAAAAAACCTTAATCTAATCATTAGATTTTCTATACATTATCTTTTTTCAATTCATTAATAAGCATTTTGTTAATCACGTGTATACCCATAACCAGATGCCGCAAAATATTTAACTTATGACATTTAAGCTTTTCCTCATTTTCATTGCAGCAAGTTAAAATGTTGAGTTGAATTATCTTCTGCTTTGATTTTTTGAACAGAATTTAACAGAAACTAAAATTGTGAGAAAGTTGAATTGAAATGTATAATATGCGCTGATAAAATACTGTCAGCAATTTATTTCTAGATACAATTTTCTTGAAAAATAATTATGTACTATTTTTTTTTCAGATTATTATGAAAAGATTACTATTTGGGTATCATTTATGCTAAATTAAAAAAATATTCACATTTTAACATTTAGATTAATATTTTAAAACTATTAAATAATATACTGCATTTATAAATTCGCATTGATTTTGTCCAAAAAAAATTTCACCGCCATTCTCCATCGTACGTTGACATTCAACGTCATTTTTTGTCGTGATTGGGCAATTTGAACAATGTAAAGATGTGTGATGTGATGGAATTATAATTTTATGATATGTGCTAAATGACCTTAGGATAATCGTGTTGAAGAGCAATATTAAATATTATTGAGTTTGTTGTACATAAAGTCGTAATATAGTTATAGTTTTTCTAGTTTAAGAATGGATGAAAATAATCGTTTGAATCGGCGATCACGACCTCGGCCTTTTGATTTGAGACGAAAAGTACTTCTAAAAAATTTCTTGCGTGAGCAAATGACCTATATTCCTCCAACAGGAGAAATGTCGCAAATATCACTTGAAATAAGTAATGGAACAAACTTAATGGAAGGCTCTTCGTTTTCCACTGATACGATTCAAAAACAAGAATCTGCTAATGATGAGAATAATGCTGACATACTAACATCGCATTCAGAACCAGGGCCAAGTTCATCTGTTTCTCTTGTTAATGATATTAAATCTGAGCTGAATCAACACAGTGATGTTTCTGATTCTTCTAATGATGATATTGATAAAAATACTTCTAAATCTTCCCTATCAGTAGTTTCCCGGTTTTCGAGCATAATAAGATCACGTAGTAAACGAAAGAAAAAAGGTATTGCGAAGGCTAAATTTATATGTAAACCTGTGAAAAGTCCTGAAAAAGCGAAATCTGAGACTGTCAGATTTGGAAATATGTTTCGTCGTAAAAGCGTAATTCAATGTAAACAACCTCTTAGTGCCAATTTGCGTAAAAAATCTGCTTCAAAGTCTTTCTTTTCTTTATTTAAAGCTCGTAAATCAAATATTAAACAGGACGAAAGTGTAGCCAGTGTACAGAATCTAAGTTCTGTAAATAAAGATTGTGAATCATCGGCTAGTACTGGATCATGCAGTACCTCAACTCAGGCTGTTCAAACAGATCTTACTTGGTCTTCAAATGAGTTAAATGAGATTGAACATACAAATAGACTTTTGCGTGAAGAAAACAGACTTCTATCAGATAGTTTGTCATATTTTATGTCAGATGCAAGGACTAATTTTAACAATGGAGGACATGAAACAATAAATCCATCTCATGATCTCAACAATAGTACATTAGAAAGTTTGCCATTTAATAATCATTTAGGTGCTAAACAACTTTTTTATTCACCTGAGACTGCCAGAAAAGGCATAATTTTAAGATCCAAAGTTTTACGTTCGAAGTCAGTTCAAGAACGTTCAAAAAGCGATGCAGTTAGGATATGTCATCGCACAAGAAGCATGAATTACCACGAAGGAACAAGAAATCATTTCATTTCAAATTTTCCTTCAAGGCCATCAAGAGAACCGTCATTTCAACAAATTGGTGCAAGAACAAGATCAAGCACAAATCGTATAAGGAATTTAGGTTCACCAAACAATAGAAGAATTCCCGTTCTTCGAGCATTTCCATTAAATAATAATCGAGTGTTGCAGCGACGATCATCAATGCCTGAAAGAGCAAATTTAGAAAATGTTAGACTTGCTTACAGGAGACCTCACAGTGTTCGTGATTATAATCGTCCTAAACCTGCAGTGCCTTTTCGAATTTTGCCAGCTGAAGCATTTTATTAAATTGTTTAAAAAATTACCCTGCTATTTCTTGAATTAGCAGAATATGCCTTTCTAAGGCATAAAAATTTATGCAGTTTCATCTTGAATTGGTGTTTTCAAAATAAAATGGAATTTTATGGAACTAAATCATCAATTTGTATATTTTTTTTCCTTTTCGTTGATATCTATTACTTTTTTTGTAAATAAAGTTTTTTAAAATCTTCCTCTTTTTATTATTATCTTGCTCTTCTTTAAAAAGTGGCTATGTAATGAGCAGAAAGTGGCTACGTAACTTTTTTTAAAAGAATTGTTTTATTGTTGAATCTCCAGTTTATTATTATTTATTATTATTATTTACATTAAACTGGTGAAAGAGCATTTTTATGATAGTTCCCTTTTTTATATTTAATTTTATTACTGCTTTCCATTTTGTCTGCAATTGTTATCACAAATCATTTCATCCTGTGTTGAGATAATTGTAGTGAATAGCATCCATATTTTAAAAGCAAACCAATACAGTTATTTTTGTAAATAATTTCATTCATATTGTACTATAAAGTTCATAAATAATTTTGTATTTTTCTATTTAAATTTTCATAGGAACTTATATAGTGTTCATAAGGTACGAGGAGAGAATCAGGTAATGTGCACTAATTTTACATTGCATACTGTTTTTAAATTTAAGTATTAGTAATGAGATCGCATTTCATTTATATTTACAACGTTATTCTTATCATATTTTATTGCTAAATAAAATCTAGCTCATTGTATTTTCCTTGTTATGATGAATTTAGAAATCTTGTAAGAAAGAATTTACATATAACTCTAGATGAATCCTGAGAAGTTTTTCAAGGTAAGAATTTCTTTACTAAGCAATAGGACAGCTCGTGGACAAATTAATGTCTTTTGAAGATGATGTTGCTAATGGGCAGGTATGAAGAATTTTATAAATGCATGTCATATATAAAAATATACTGAGATGTTTTTATTCATATCTATGTAAAATCTCCAAGGATAATTTTGAGATGGTAATCTAATTAGTAAAAGTTTACGATTGGGTGCCCTTTGTTTTTTTGACATCAAGATCAGCATTAGGAAGGCACAAGATGGCTGCTACGCAATACCAAAATAACAAGTCAAAAAATTGCATAAACTCGGTGTCCATGTACACTTTGATCTATTTTCACTTAAAAAAAAATCACAGAATTGCACAAACTCGGCATTGCGCTTTCCCTTCGCATTGTCCATGTACACATTGATCTATTTTTCACTTCACACTAAAAAAAATTCAGTAAGCTAAAACGAAGTTAAAACTATCATGGTAACCAGAAATGGAGTTTAATCACCAAAATTGAACAAAATTTGTCTCCAGTCGAAGGGGCACTCAACTCTACACTAGAGACTTCTTTTTATATTTATCCCATAATTTAAAAAAAGGATCATGCTGTGACTTCTACAAGCGGAAATGTAAACTTTTGATAAACTAAATAAATGCCTATCAATGAAATAATACTAAATAAAAGATGAAAACTAGAAATTTATTTTTTCACCATCAATGGAATAAAATATTCAAATTTTGGGGATTTTTTTGCACAAAATTACTAAAATTTTAATTTGGTAACTCATTTTCTTCTTGGCATTTCTGCAATTAATAATATCTTAACCACAAAAAAACTTATTCTGATCATTATTTTAAAATTTTGCAATTCTAAAAATATTGGTAAAAATGTATTTACAGGTGCCCCATGGGATTTTTGGCAGTTTGACACCGAGTTTGTGCATTTATTTGACTTGTTATTTTGGCTTAAAAATCGGCGCTATACAAAGCTAAAATAACAAGTCAAAGAATTGCACAAACTCGGTATTCATGTACACATCGATGTATTTTCACTTTAAAAAAAAAAAAAAAACTGAAAATTGCACATACTTGGCATTGCACACTTCCTTGACTTTGTTCATGTACACATCGATCTATTTTCACTTAAAAAGTTAAAGGAGCAGCCAACAAAAAATATATAATCTCAACAAACTACATTTTTAAATCAAACAATGAAATAACGTTAAAAAAGGAAATTCATTTTAGCACTACACAAAGGAAATATCTACTTACCTTATTTAGAAATTTCTTCAGGCAAACAAAATTCCTTAACAGCATCCAGAAATTTCCTAAAATTATCTGTATACTGATGTTACCACATAATTCACAAAACTAAGAATAAAAAATATCCTCCGATGTTCAACCATGTGCTTTTCCTTCATACAAACAGGACACTTATAATGGCTACTAAGTAAACCTTTATTTACATGCCAGTCAATTAATGCTTTTTTCCCTTTCCAAATTGTACAGAAATTTTAAATAAATCTTACATTCAGCCATTTTGCCGTGTAAACTACAAAATACCATACTTCCTAACCAACCAACAAACAAGCCTTTACAAATCTTTTCCCATCATTCAAATTCATCGCACTCACACAACCAATTACGCCATAATAGGATTTCTGTAACATTCAACTACTCAGGTTACCATAAATGCAACTTAGGATAATCGAAGGGGCACCCTAAAATATACTCTAACCAAAATATTTTTTCACATTTAATGTAATAACTAGGTTTATAATATGAGTGCTGTTTAATAACTGTGTTCTTTAATGCAAAAAAAGTTTTTTTTTTTTTTTTTTTTTTTTTTTTAAACATTGACTTACTTTTTTATTTAAGTATAGTTTGCCTTTTTTGGAAAATTATTGCATTTCTTTACAAAGTTTAATCAATTTAACCAGTATGAATGCTTTGTAGAAAAAATATAAATATGCTGTAAAAAAACATGTGAAAGTATGTTAAATACATGTATTGTATATTTTCAGAACCCAGTCAGAACTGTGGCAAAGGCCAGCAGCATTTTTCTTGAAATATACTTCTCTCAGTAGTCTTTGTATATATGTGTGTATTAAAAACAGTTATTCAGATATGTGTAATTTTCATAATAAAAATTTACTGTCATGCAAAATTGCAAATATATAGAAATACTTTTTCAGGGAAATATTGCATA